ATGACGGACGTCATCAGGACTGGAACTCATTCTTTTAAAAGTCTTAAGTTAACACCAGGTCAAGAAGTATCTCCCACTCTATCCTACATCATATATATACTTAAGTAAAAAAAGAAAGCATATATAGACAGATAGATAGAAATATAATTATTTACTCACGTCTCTTTTAGGTTATAAATGATACTTTTACTCGGATGTGTGTGTGTGCGTTAAAATCTGTACGCAAGACCGGTTCTAAATCAAAAGTATAATGCCAGGCTCGCGCCGTCAAGGTTCAATAACTCAGGAAACGTCCCCAACCAATATTGCATAAATTCTTGAACAATTCTGAATGAGACAATGAGATGTAAGCATGTAAACATAAAAGTCAGGTTACGAAACCACCTGTCATAACCTCTTTGTCTAGGATTACAAAGGTTCGCCAACAAAATGAAAGGAATAAAGGGATTACGTAATCTCGTACGTCTGGTTTGTTTGATGGACATAATCTACATGTTGCACGAGTATGAGTGAGGTTGTAACCATCGCCTTCTTTTGGACTGCGGCTCAGCATGCTATCGCCCTTTAAATCTTCTACTCAAGAATAAGTTAATCATACTCAACTTTCTACCACCATTTCATGCATTTCACATATTCACTAATCTATTAATTTCACTAACCTCTCTCAACTTTATTTTGACATGAGACATACCATTATCAACGAACATTTACGGTTGAGACCAATGTATATCGTGATGAGTTAGGAAGCTTGATGTTCATAGGAAGCCAACATATTTTGACTACTTTTCCAATTTTCTTTCTAACCAAAGTTTCAAATCCAAATAGTGTTGGTCTGACCGTGTTTTCGTAACTTGGTCAGAACGCCAAGGACACCTTTTTAAACGTACCTAGTCTTGTGCCCTCGTGACTTTCGGCATTTGATCACTGATTTGGTACATTTCCAAAAGTTTCATCTGCATCGTAGTCGGCAGCATCAGTGAGAGGCACTATTGCAAGCACAGAGTCACAACTTATCAACTGACAAGTGCCTGAGACTCTTGCAAGAATGAACTCCAGCTCTAATGATGTTCGTCAAGG